CCCAGCCCGCATCCCTGCCACCCCCGGGGCGCATCCCCGCTCACCCCCCTCCCCGAGGCGCATCCCTGCCCCGGTGTCCCCCCGCCGCATCCTTTCCCTCCCCCAGGCGGAATCCCCCGCCCCCTCCCCAGCAGGATCCCGCCGGATCCCCTGCCCCCAGGCTGGATCCCTGCCGCTTCTCCCATCCTCGGGCGGGATCCCTGAGCGGGTCCCCCCCTCCGGTCCCCCCCCGGCGGGGTCCCCCCGCTCGCCCGCCCGGCCAGGGCCGCATCCTGCCCGCTCCGTCCGGGGCCAGCCCCGCTCCGGGCTCTTGCGCCGGGGAAAACTTACCCTAACATAAAGCCTAGAAACTAAACTCTGTTCGGGTACTGCAAATAAGCTCCTGGCTTGTTTTGGTGCGGTTTTATTTTTATCCTTCACGCGTTTCTTTTGGGGCTTTTTTTTTTTTTTTTTTTTCCTCTCCCCTCCCTTTCATTTCAGCACTCATCCAGGTTATTTGAATAGTCAGCTAAATCTGATGAAAAAAAAAAAATCAGCCGAACGTGCTGAGATCTTACAGTCTATCTGTTTTGTTCACAGATATGGATCAGGGGTGAGATGGGCTCTTTTCTTGGCTCTGCTCTTTCTTGGAAGTAGCTGGATGAGCAGAGAGACAGCGTGGACGGGTAACGCGTGGGGCTGAACTTCAGGGAGGTTACAAGTTTTTCACTTTTTTCAAGTATTAAAATTAAAATAAAATTGCATGTAGAAAAAAAAAAAAAAAAGAAGGGAAAGAAAAAAAAAAAAAAAAGCAGCCCAGACTCCACCTTTGCACTGAAGGGATTGGTTATGCAAATATGGAAGGGGTTTCCTGGCAAATACAGCTTTCTACTGTATGGTTAATTAAATCATCACTCAAAAGCCTTCCAATGTGACGCTTCTGTCGTAATCCAATCAGGTTACGTAGGTCCTAAACAAGAAAGATATTTTCCACATCTGGAAGTCAGCAATTTAGCAAGTACTGCACATTATTAACCAATTCAGAGCCCACTTCCCAGGGGGATAGTTTTTTCTTTTTTTTTGAAGTTTAAGTGTTCTTAACCAACGCTCTGCCGGTTTGTTAATGAAAAAGCCGGTTTACACCGCACGTAATCGAGAAGTAATTCCGAAGTGAGTAAAGGCAGAGCTAGCCGGGGATGCGGAGCGAAGGCGTTCGGCTGCAAAGGGGGCAGATCCGGCTGAGGCTCCAGCCGCTCATGCCCAGCTCTCAGCACAGCCCACAGCCGTTCCTTCCTCCTGAAGGAGCTCGAAATCATCTCACTGCAAAGAGAAACTTCGCTTCTTGCCCACTCGCACGGTCCCTTCCCAGGGTAAACGTGGGGCTGCCCAAAGGGCTGCGTTAAAGCGCTGCGAAACAATTTCCCCGCTCGGACAAGAGTTCAGCCTGTTCCAGCACTTTATGTGGATTTTTTTTCTTCTCCCCCTCCCGAGGAAAACCGAAACAAATGGCACGCTGATCCCACACCGCACTTTTACTTACATTAAGCTTAGATAAACTGCTCTTGAACTGTGCATTGAACGTGTGCCTAAAGCAAGAAGTGGAGGGCGAGCAATAGCGGTGGGATCGCGCTCCAAAATGGTCCAGCTCAGGGAACACCTTCCTGACGGCTCAGCATCGCAAAGGAAGGAAGGGACCCCCCTCGCCCCCCCGCAGGGTGTCCTTGCAGCTCATCAGAGCCACCGACATCTGCCTGGGATTATTTTTTTCTTTTGGTCATCTCTTGGTTAGACGGGAGTGGGTGGCCCTGTGAGATGGGGGAGGCAGAGCACGGGGGGCTCAGGGTAGGGGCATCCAAATGTCCTCCCGAGCTGGGAAGTGGCACCTCCGGGTGTCCCCCTCCTCAACCCCGAGCTGCAGGCGGAGTGGGGAGGGAGAGGCAGGCTCTGGCCGTCTGCTGCCGCTGCAATCCCCGACCAGGCAAAGGTGGGAACGAGCTGCCCTAATCTTTTCAATTCTTATTTTTATTTATATTTATTGTTTTTATTTATAGCTCTGTTTTTGTTCCCCGCTACGAGTCGTCATGGGTTTGTTAAAAGTTTTCTTGCCACTATTCTCTAAATGCCAGCTTGATTTTCCTGCAGGATGCATGACTTCTCCATGCCTAAACGTACCTGGATACACAGAGACATATCACACACATACACACACACACACACAGAATGATGATATCTTAATGAAATATATAGCGCAGCGCAAATATCCTGAAATCAGATTCAAGTATTATTAGTTTGAATTAGATCCTCTCAGATCCAGAAGGCACTGCCTATAAATCAAGGGCAGTCTGGCAATTCCTTAAAGAGCTAAACTGAATTTAGATGCATATGATAAAAAGAAAGGGAAAGAAAAAAGTGAATGCTAATTACTGACTTGCTCGATTTCCACTCACCCACGTTTTCTAGGAGAAAAAGGAGAAAACCTAAAAACCAACCAACAAGTTCTCAAAATAAATTAATCCCATTACAAATTCCTTACATATTGTTCCTACATTTCCAGATTACAAAACGAGGGGATGAACTGGAGATTACGAGAGGCTGCAGCCTGACTCGCAATAGGCAGGAGTGCTGTCGATGGTGTATCAATAAAATATATTTATCTGCAGCCACGCTGAAAAACAAACCCTCAGAGCGTGTGATGATGCTCAAGGGCTTTAAGAAACATGTTGGCATTGTCAGATAATCCCTATTCATAATTTTGCTGGCTGTTCTTTCAGCCCTCAATCTCACAGTTTCCCCAGCTCTGATGTGCCTCCGCAGGGTTTGCTTCGGAGCGATAAAACTGCTCGGATCTTCGCAGGACTGACATAGCACCCAACATTATTAGATGCTATTTTAATGTGAGATGTGGGGCTGTTTGTTGGGGTTTTTTTCATTTTTAATTTTTGGACACTGGACCTAAACATTTAGCAATCAGCTAAGCCCTTCTGAGATGGAATTTAACCTTAATCCAGGCGATGATTTCCTGCCTGGCTCTGAACTAATAACGGGTGCACAGCTTCTTTAGGAGATGGAAATAATGACAGGCTATAGATCCTGCCTTTATTGGGGTGGTGCTGGCAGCCCGGATCCCAGTCCCTGCTCCATCAGCATCCCCATGCAGATCCTATTCCCTGCTCTATTTTAAAACTTTTGCACATCTTATCCCCCCCACCCCATCAGTTTAAAAGCAAGCAGAGCCAAAATATCCTCACAAACCCCAGCTCCTTCCTTGTGTATAGCTCCCAGCACTGGGGCTTGGAGATGGTTTTAAGGGCAGTTCTATGAGTGCAGGTTTCTGCTCTTTTCCTCAGGTTTTCCTACATGGAAATGCTGCAAGTTGAGATGAGGGTGGGCTGATCCTGATGCAAACCTGCCTGGTTAAAGCCACAGGAGAAGCCCTCTTGCTTCCAGCTCCTCGGTGGGTTTCCTTTGTCCACCAAAACCTATCGTGGTGAAGATAACCCTGTGTTCCCAACACTGTGTGGATCTGCAGGGCCAGCCAGGGGCAAATCCTGCTGCCAGGGACAAACCCTACTGTGAGAAAAGGATTGTGCAGGGAGAGAGCTCCGTGTGACCCCCAGGCACCCAGCTCTGATTGAGAGGGGAGGTGACCAGCCACCGAGGAGGGCTTTGGGGCGCAGGCCCTGGAGGACCTGAGCCTTTGGCTGAGACCTTCGGCCATGGTGGCTTTATGGGGACTGGTGGCACGGTCTGAGGGGATGATTCACTGCCTTATTTATTTTGGTGTGTTTGCTTGTCCCCTGGAGGAGGATGAGTAATGGGGACTGTATTTTCTTGCCCACCACGTGGAAGGAGGAAAACTGAGGGAATAGGAGCAAAGATGCCATGGCTGACGAGTTTTGACTAATATATTTTAGAGCCTGGTGAAGACAGGTTTAACACCTCTTAAGTACACTTCAGGTGCTCTGAGGCTTTTCCTTCATGTCTTCCATAGCCAGAATTCTTGACTATTTTCCCTGAAGTGTGGAACCCTTCCTACATCAGGGATTAAACATCCCTGTGTAGGGGACCCAGATGAGACGTGCCCACTTGCAGCCAAGCCTGTGGAGAGCATCCTTCCCTCCCCACAGCCCTGCTCCTCTGAGGGAGCTGCTCCTGCAAGATTTGGGATCCCTGTGGGTTCTGGCTGCTTCTCATGCTCCTGTCTCTGGGGTGTAGAAGATGTCCTTGCCTTGAGAAAGAATTCTGAGGTTGCAAAAAAAACCAAAACAAATCAAACAAAAAAAGATGCCAGGGGGATTATTTTCTGCAGTCACCTGTGGCAGCAGAGGATAATACAGGCTGGAATAATTTTTGTGAGCAGGGAAGGCCCCATGTGGGCCCAAGATGCTGCTGGATACTTTGGCTCAGTACAGGTGTCCCTATAAACTAAGATTTAGAAAGAAAAGCCTTTATTTTTTTTCCAATTTCCACATGGAGGAGAGGGCACAGAAGAGAGGAAGAAAGGGTCAGGGAATGACTCTCCCCCCACCCGCTGATGAGGTATTTGGGAAGAAACCTTTTGAATCAACATTCCCAAAGTTTTCAAGTTCCTCTGCGGAAAACCCATGTAGGGATAGGATACGAGCCAAAAGCAGGGGAAAAGATTGTCTGGCTTTAATTTATCTATCCCTGGGCATTTCTAACCAGCAGATCACTGTAATATTTGATCTTGTGTGAGTCCCTGAACGTTAAAAGTGAATCTCCTCATATGTTTTTGTTAATTTTGTCATTCATAAAGCCACTTCTGATGGCCTAGAGCTGCTCAGCTGCTGTTCACAACATCTGTGTGTCTGCATCCACAGGTCCCAAAATTTCTTTTCTCATTGGGCAGTGAGCAGTGAGGGACAAGCATCCTCCAGCCACTGTCCCACACCATGAGCTGGAGCAGCTTTTACTTCTCTTCTGGGATCAATGCTGAAGTTTGGTCACATTTCTTGGCTCAGTTGGCAATGATTAGAATTCACGGCTCACTTTTGTTTATAGTTGGTTGTTTACTTTGTTGAATTTTTAAAAACTTGTTAGAATGCAATTGAACACAGATTCAACAGTATTTAGGCTTGAAAAATAAAGATGCATTAGAAAGATGCCTATTATGCTTCAGAATTATTAATTGACATTTTTATGATGAATAATTAATCATTTGAATAATTTTCGTATCTCTGATCTGAACACATATTTGCATATCTAATGTCTGATTTTAAATGTGGTTTCTTTAGTTGCATTCTCCCAGGACAAAGACAAGAAGTAAGTAACATCCTAATGCAAAACTTTTTTCCTTTGCACTTGTAAAAGTATGTTTATTGAAATGCAAGTTCCTATCTAGTTATGAAGCTGTTAAT